TTTGCTCTTATCAGAAAAAAAGAGGTTTTCATAGAAGCTACGAAAAATCAGCCAAAAATTGAGGCTTGCCTTTCTCAGCCGACTTAAGCATTTGGATCAAAATTTTTTCGCCGTTAAATCGGCCGTTAATAGTGTATATATGACACTATTTAAATCTTGAAAAATCTCGCTTTCGATTTTTCCCCAAATGTCCGCCTGATTGTCCACTGTGTAACTGTCTGTTTGAAATCATTTTCTTTTGCATTACTTGGTCTAGTGACCATTATCTTGTTCGATCAGTGTATAGTGTCACTAGCATTCTTTTGAACGATGACTGAGAATTAACTACAGAGAGTATTTTCAGAATTTTAGATTGGTAAATTACTGACCTCTGTCAACCTGTAGATTTTCTCGGGGGACCACTTTCGGCCCTCGTGGTGGGAATTATCAGTGGGACATGCAGGGTCGTTTAGACTGCTTCAGATGGATTGTTAAGAGATCGTTTCAACAAAATATGGATTCTACACAAAATTTGGTGAAGTTTTAACTTTAATAACTAAGTCCCGCTCAAGGCGTGATTAAAGGATCTAGAAATAGCGATGGCTATAGATAAACGTAAACATTTCAGAAGAAGAACGTGAACTGTCGGATTCCGTCATCAGGATATCCGAGCATAGATGTATTTCAATCCTAATAGTGCTAGAGCACTAACTTGGGCTAGTTATTATATAGTCGTTTTGTTGAGAAGGACGGATGAATTCAAAACTTTTGAGTTTGAAAAAAATGTACTCTAGCTGAAGGTGCTAAGTATAGCAGTGTTTTTTCGGATTTAGATATGATGCACATAAGTGAATTCGGGTATTGGTACGTTAATAACCTTTCATGCAATCTATGGTGGAGCAACGTTCATATTTTAGTTGCTGGACATCTGTTTGTTTTCTTAAGCTGCGTGGAACTGCGATCGAAGCTATTCTAACCCGTTTAATTTGGTTGCCTATAGTGCTTCATCTGGAATCAAAATTTTGAATTATGTTTTATACATTCTTATTCTATATGAAAAAAGCTTCAAGAAACGTATATGTTACATTCGTGAACGCTATTTTGATCAAAATGTCAACAGTTGCATTCACATATGCATCAAAGGGAAATATGTCATCTATTAGTCAGATCATTCGAGTAACAAGAATTTAAGAATGTTTTAAATATCAAACAAACAGCTTCAGATCGTTTTTGGATCATTCTGTACGGACTATAAGAAAAGAACTTGCCTAAGTTATGGTCATAAACTTGTGAATCTCATATCTGTAAATTCCACTAGCACAATTCCATCTAAAATGCTGATTCAATCCTTTTAAACCTACTAAATCTTTTATTTCTATACCAATGTAAACAATGGATGGTCAGCATGTGAGTTTTGTGACGTATATTTTTCGCAGGTATCATCAGTATCTCTAACGGATATTATAAACAATGGAATGAAATATTACGTTAAATTAGATCCACATCGTATATAAAAGCGAGGAGTCAGGAGTGGTGGAGTGCCGACGACCGAAAGTGAGCTGTCTCTTATGTTCCATTCTAGAAAATAACAAATCTGAAAGACCCGGTCTTTTAACTAAGAGTTCGTTTGCGACAATATTTTATAGCTCTTTTGTATGCGTCAGTGTTCTGAGCGATAGTTCTCATAACAAAATCCAACAAGAGGTAATGGCTAATGATTCAGTCGAGAGTCAAACGCGTCGCGCCGACGAGCGTTACCCGTTTTATATAGAAAAGTTTTTTGTTAAAATATCTTACAAATAAAATAATATCATTTCTTTGTTATCATTCAAACTGAATAAATATTATTTGGTAATTGAACAGAATCTATATTAATAATCAAATTATTATCGAGTGTAGGTTTAATTTTGTCCGTGATAGTATATTCGAAAAGAACACGATCCTTTTCGCCATTAAACTAATAATAACGGAATAAAATCGATATTTCTGTTATTTTCGATTTGATCTTGACTAATTGCATGGAATTGATATTCTAGTAATAAAAATCAGTTTGTTCCCTCTTGGTTAAGTAACCTTGTTCACATGAACAATAATAAGTTTTTTTTGAAAGCACTAAGTCATATAAAAAAAAGCAAAAGCGAGAGAAGCAACAACTACAAGCATTTGATTAAAAAGTAGACGTGGTTTCTAAGCATTCAACAAGTGTTAGATGAATAGGTGATATTGTTTCTAAACTCGTTCCAAACCTAACATTTTCTATTGCATTATCGGATTAGTGAGAACAGCTACTTCGAGATTATAGAAGTTGCTGTCATTGGACTTTTTGCATCGCATGAAATTCTGTTAATCATGAACTTCTGAATTCGATAGTTGAAAAAGTCAAGGACTAATAAATTCCCGTAGCGATCAAATGACAAATCGCCAGGAAACCAAAGTTGATTTGCTTGACTGCCTCCATTTATATCACCGACAACAAGTGTTCCTGACGTTGCTCCTTTTGGCCATTTTACAACACGATTATTCGAAGTATCTAGAACATAAACAGTGCCCGATTGATCAACAATGACAGCGCCTGGATTCTTCAGCTGATTTAAATTTGGTCCTTGTCCATTACCGCCTGCCACAATCATGCCAATGGTCGCACCTACTGGCCATTTAATAACGGTATGCAAATTCCATTCAGTCACATAGATACTTCTATCTCGATCCACAAAAAGACCGTGAGGAAAGTCCAAACGACCGTTAGTCACAATTGTACCACTACCTTTAATAGACCCTGGGGACCATTTTAGTACTCGACCTTTTAAAGATTCTGTTGCATACAGTGAGCCTTCGCCGTCATACATAAGATTGCTACATGCTAAGTCCGAAATAACTGTTTGTCCGTCAAGCGCTCCCGGCAACCAACGCTGCAGACGGTAATTTCGCTCATGAAGAAAAAGAAATAAAAGACAACAACTTTGATGTAAGTCTCTATTTTGAGTCTATTCGTTGGCGACGAGAAAGAGTAATCTGTTTTAGGTACAATCCGTTATGGTTTATTATAGTTGTTGGCAGTTAATTGGTATTGGATTATGTTTCGTTGGTATGGGAATTTTATTCTATATTATGAGTTATTGTGTAGGCATAAGAGTATGTAAAACATTTATACATTTGATTTCACCTATTTTAGCTTGAGTTTTGTGCCATCAATTTTTTCTTGTAGGATGAACAAACTTTGGAGGGCTTCGTACTACTTGGTATGGGAATATTCATGCATATGATGTCCATATTAAGTTTCTACAAAATTCATCAAGAATTTAAACAGAAAGTAAGTCAAAACTTTGATAAAAAGTCTTTATTTATTGAACTCGTTTAATTTCAGTATTTCATGGAAAAATATCAATATATCAAACGATGTTTCGAAAAAATGAAAACAAAATTGTTTTGCTTTGATATATGTGTGTGTGTTTCATGTATAAATTGGATGATTTTATTTAATTCTTTTTGTGTGTATGTAAGGCAGAATAATTGTTAAGATGTCTAAGTAGTGATGTATATATTATATATAAACCGAGAGCAAACTACTATGAACGACAATCCTGAAAGTTTGCTTTACTTTCAATGATAATTCTTTTGGTGAAAACTTATCTGATGAAGAATGATATGGTTAACATAAAATGAAGAATTCTTTCAGGTAACCTAGTAAAATTTTTCTAGAGTAGTCTCATCTAAGTCTCATTCAAAAGAGCACATTTAGTTGCACTAAACGCAACTTTTAAAAGTTTGTTCATGACTGAGTTCCGCCATTGATAGAAGACCCCATTGGGCGACAGGGCGAAACACGCCAATCTATTTTATCAAAATAATCAAAAGATACAAGCATAAAACTCGCTAATACATCGTTTGGTAGTAGCTCAAGACAGAGAGAGGTAGAAGCCTCGAATCGACGGCCAAATGATGTTAGGAAGGTTGTGGTAGTGTTTGTTGAGCCTTTTGAATCGTTTGGAGGGGTAGTTCAATATAAAGTTTAAAGGAATCGGTAAGCCAGCGTCCAAGAATTTGAATGATATATGGTGGTAGACCACACGTAGCTGCCGTGGTGGCAGCACCTTTCCGAAAAGAGTGACCTGAATAGGAAGCGGCATCAAAACCAAGGTGCGAAAGAACGAGTCTAATTTTCTCGATAAAATTTAGGCGACTGAGAGGTTGGCCTGTAGGTGTTAAAAAGAGAGGTTGGTGAGGACTAGAAAAGAGTTGAGAACGAATTCTGAGATATCGCAAAAGAACTGCTACAGGGCAAATACGATGCGATGAAGCGAAAAAGTGTACCATGACACCAGAGTGGAATGGGTCTGTCTTAGAAGATTTGAGTTGCAACGAAAAAGATGAATTTGT